ATATTATATGTCCTGTTACAGCCAATACTTTTTCTTCAGGAGGTTTTAGCTTTGTCATGTTGCAGTAAAAAAAATTCCACTCAAAATGAATGACAAAATGTCCTGAAAGAGTTAATATAAAGTTCCTCATGCTGTGGTGACCCTCAACAATCAAATTATTTTTGTTGCTACTTCATAACTTCAGTAAATATGTTTTTCAATGGTCTTAGGCGACCCCTGTGAAAGGGTCGTTGGACCCCCAAAGGGATGGTGACCCACAGGCTGAGAACCACTGCTTTATCGCATGCAGCTCACCCCTGTCTTCCCATCTTTTTAACTTCACTTCTCGCTTCCTTCACCATTTGTTTTGTGGTCAGCATTTATTTTCTAGGCTCCTGTGAGTTCCAGGGAAAAGACATTATAGTTATATCGTTCTCAGGTTTTCTCAATGTGTGTCCTATCCATCTTTCTCGGGGTAAAGACACCACAGCTTTACTGTTTGCAAGTTTTCTTCATGCATGTCCTATCCATTGCCAGCGTATTCTCTTCTATTGATTCACTGGAATTTGTGTAGTGCCCCCCCCCCCCCCCCCCCCCCCCCCCCAAAGCTCTTGTAATCTACAGCTGTAAAACCTGCCTGTTTGGACAGAGACACCAACACACACAGCCTACTGTCTGATAAAGTCTCCCATCCATGAAGAGTTGGCTTCTGGTATTTTCTTACTGGCCAGGGCTGAAGCTTTTATAATAAAGTCATTGACAGATATCTTCTTTAATCCTTTTTTCTCTAAGGAGGCATTCAAATCTTTCCTGATGCTGAAAATAAAATATATAATAAATAAATAAATTGTTTCTGGCATAAAGGAGTAAAGTAAAAGTAAAGAATATGTTAAAGTCGAGAAGATTGACTTCATTGCACCCCGTTTTATCCCATATGGCTCTGTCTCCCTCAGCAGAATGGCTGGCCACCTGCCGAGAGCATCACACAGAGCACAAACTCCGTAGCTCCGGCGGTGATCCCCAGGAGTTCCGTACAAATTGCACTCGTAAACTGAATGACACAGCCGTGAAATGAACCCACAACCTTAAGAGCGTGAGGCAAACGGCTAGACCACTTCGCCACGGAACACCTCCCCACAAAATAATATGTATATGTCCATAATACATACTGGGGTAATAATGCTAGATCCATTTATTTCCTGACCAAATAATACAACGTAATATAGCTTACTATTATATCCGCGACCTTTGATGGGTTTAATCTCCCATAAATGACACCTAATTTTACACTGCTACATTCCTGGGTGTAGCTGTCTGCCCTGTGTGCAATACTTTTCTATCCTTCAAAAGTAAAAGATGTGTCGACGGTGAGGGCTATATTTTGTACACCTAATGTATTCTTTTCATTGTTATCTCCACCGCTGTTGTACATATAGTAGAAACTCCAAAGAAGAGTTTCACAAACTCCACAAACTTGACCGATGAAGCTACCGCCCCCTCACCGGGACTGTTTCCAGTCCTACCCCAAAATTTGATTGATGAATATTAATTGTAGTCACCATGTTATTACATTTAAAAAAAAAATATTACTTTAATTACCCATTGCTGAAAAGTGAAGGAACTGAAAACGAAAATTAACAATTTAAAAAAAAATGTTGTTTTAATTCTAGCACACAGCTTTGTCTTCAGTGTGGGTGGAACAGATTGAGTCTCTGTTGGCAGCATATAGTTGACAGTGTTGAAGCACATGCTCAGCATTTTCTGGTGCCAAGCTGCAGGGACATGCCTCTGTGTTTCCTACAACGAAAAGTTTGAACAAATGTTGGTGAAGTCTGTTGTGCTCTGTCCTTAGTCTGAATAAAACAAACTGTCCCTCTCTAGAGGCGATGAAGCGAGTCTTGATGTGAGCATGTTATCAGAGACCAACACACACCAGGCATTACTTGGGACTCAAAGAGTTAAGAACTTCACACAACAGATGTTCACATGTACTTACTTACCTGAGTATTCTCTCCACATTAATCTCAGTAGTGAGATAATAGTGAGGTATTGTCTGCTTGGACAGGGTCAACCGCTTGGCTATAACCTGTGGATAAATACACATACAAATACAACAACATGTGATGAGGAGAAAACTGCAGTACATGGTGACGGTAGAAAAGTTGGAGGAGAGGAGAGGCAGAGAAAGACCAAGAGAACAGGTGCTGGACAGTCTAACATCATGGCATGGAAGATCATCTGTGTCAGAGTTGATTGAAAGTACAAGAGACAGAAGGTTGTGGATAGACATGACTACCAATGCCACACGACTTGGACTTTAAGAAGAAGAAGACGATATAAACTGCTAAAAGTCAGACTGTTTCATTACTCTACATAATATGCAGACAATAAGAGTGAAAATTCCTGCATTCCCCTTAAAAGGGCGATTGGCCCTCTTGTGATTTACAGTAAGGCTGCAAAATTTGCAACTTTTGGCCCAGCAACTGATTTAATTAGTTGCCCTTATGACATGCTTGTTTAAAGGGCCGTGACCCCCTTCTCCCCCCCCCCCCTCCTCTTCCCAATAGGGATTCTGGAACCAACATTGATAGACTGAAAAAGCCATGATCCTGGGGATCAGAACATAAAATAGAAAGAGAAGAAGAAGAAGAAAGAAGACTTTTTTTAAACTGTAAAACTGGCATTAAATGACAGAAAAAATAAAACACAACTAAGACACATTACCTGTCTCATGTTTGAGAGTGGGAAATCAACAAAACTCTGGGATGTTGCAGGTGCAACGGCAGCCACACCTGGGACAGATACACCTGGTGTTGCTTGCAGAACATCAGCTGCACGTACCTGGCCATCTGGGCCGCTGCCTGCCACAGCCTGGGGAAAAAAAATGTTATGTCAATGGACAGACCAATCAGAATTGGCTGGGTGATAGGTAAACATAGCCCCGGCTGTCTTCTCTGATCATTACCTGGCACCTTTTTTACCACCATCGACCTGGTAACCATGATCACCTCTGAAAAAAAATGTGGTTTTAAACCCATGACATTCGGGTTGACAGGTGAGCATCTAGCCACAATGCCAGGGCTATCCAACTGACAGCCTGCAAAATCTGGCCCATAGAGCCCCACAAAACGCCTGACAATTGTACTGTAATGATGTGTCTGCGTTGGTACTCAAGCCTGTGGCACAAGGTGATCCCATTTTTCCAAAATATATTTTTTTCAACACTTTATTGGCCGGTGAGTAAATTTAGTTGAATGGCCCTGCACTACGTAATTAAAGCTTAATGTTTTAAAATGTAATATAAAGCAAAAATATACCTTGAAGAAAAAACCTCACCAAATCTCAGAGTAAAGTGAAATAAAGAAGCCTTTTCCACAACTTCAGGCATACTGGGCAGGTAGTGCCACACCTACATTTTAGAGACCAACTGGCACTCTGACATAGAATGAAACACTCCTAACTAGTTGCCTTGTACGGCATGATTGTCAGAGTGGCAGTAGGTCTCCTCCCCCCACAACTGCACCCCAAACCCACAACTGCACCCCAAACCCACAAAGGGATACTGTGGCATTTAATGTGGTTGAAGAATTTCTGTTTCCGAAGCATGATGCTTTTATCAGCTTTTTTTATTTTGGCGTTCAGATCTCAAATAAATTTCAATTTTCCTTCTGTGTTTGCTTTCCTGGACCACTGACACACTGTTTTGTGGTTTACAGCAAGGCTGCAATATCTATACCCTTCAACATATTCAATTATACCAAATTCCCCCTAACTGCTTTGTTAGGTAGTGGACTTATTCTTTATTTCACGAAAATGGGCCCTAGACTGCAAACAGACAAAATGAATTTCAAATGTCACCATTTTTGATCTGTGAAATTCTGAGAATGTTTCAGTAAAACTTACTGCCTGCACGTGGCGTGATGCTGACTACATCACCCATCTTGTGCAGATTGGTCTATAAATTATAGGTCTAGCCCTATATACCCTATACGCCTAAAGGCGTGGTAAAGAGTCCTTTACCTTACTTACTAACTGTCTGTAGTCTCATCTTTTTCACTTTTCTCTTTAATTCCCTTATGCATATGTTTGGTCTTTTTTTATTGCTATAATAAACACAATTATTTTTTTGGTACCTTTAAATCAATTCCCTTTTCTGCAGCGATGGTTTTGGCAAAGGGTGTAGCAAATACTCTTGCCCCTGTTCCAGTAGGTGGCGCTCGAGCCACGGGAGAAACTGGCAGCTTTGCTGCTGCAGCTTGTGAAGGCTGAGTAGAAGGTGGTGGTGGTGGTGGAGCAGCAGCAGCAGCTGGAGGTGAAGCTTTCTTCCCGGGTGGTGGCTGATCATCACTGGGCTGGGGCACATAATCTTTAAATGCTGCAATGTCGGCTTCAGAGCTAACAATAATGCACATCAGCTGAGGAGCAGAACCAAAGAACAATAAGCAATAAATAAATAAGGCATTAACTCTATATTTTGGGGGGAGGGGGCATTTTACCCATCTTTCCAGGTACTGTTATGCTCAGCTACTGAGAGGCCCGTTAATCATTCCATGGTGATAGTAAGTGTGACAGGCAAGTCTTCCTCACTCAGAGCCTTGGAATCAAATGTATCTGAAACGCTTTTCCTCAGATGTTGTTCTTAGTACATCGGTAATCATTTGTTCCCTTACGCCCACTGCCCCCGATTTTCCACGCCATGCAGTATGGTCTATGGCAAGGCTATCCAACTGACGGCCCACAGAGGCCTAGCTAGTGGCCTGTGGTTCATTGCCAGCTGTATTATATTAATGATCTTTTTATGACGGAGCTTGTGCCCCTCGTGATGGTATCCACTGTCAAATCTTTGGCTCCTGAGTAAATTTTATTGAACAGCCCTGGTCTATGGCATCTTGTTGCCAAGAATTAACTACTTTAGAAAATTAATATCTTCCCAGCGTCCATTAACAAGCATAGCCTACAACGGAATAAGTAAAGATTTGCTGAAATCAGGCGAGCTGAGCTGAAAATATCACAGCCTAGCTGTATACAACTTTAATTTTAACGGTTTTAACACAGAAAAAGAGGAAGAAGAATATAAATACCAAAGCTTCCATCTTGTAATTGTTTTATTTTCATCAAACTGTTATCCTCAGCTTTTGATGTGACTTCTTGTGTGTGGTTACTGTGTATGGCTGCTGAATGTGCAATGCCAACTGGGCAGACCCGGAAGTTCTTTACTGCATGCACAGAGCATGCCTGAAGCTTCCAGAGCACATGCATGGGTTGCAGAACAAAAAAACTGACCAGACTTGTGAAAGTTATGAACCGCTCATAACTGGTGGCAACCCTATTCCGGGACTTTGCTATGCAGACGACACAGTCCTCGTTTCAAACAGTGCAAAGTGAATAGAACATTTAATCATATCTGTCCAAAAACACAGTGAAGATCAAAACCTATTCTTGAATTTAAAGAAAATAAAAATAATTTCCAGACAAAACTGGCTGTCACCCTGAAATAACAATAAATGATGACAAAATTCAAAATGCCACAAACTCTGAATATCTAAGCTCTATAATAAATAGCCTGCGTGGATTTTTATCATGGTATGGGGCGTCGCAGGTTGACCCAGCCTAAAATGGGTACCAGAATGGCTGTCCTGGGGAAGTAAAGACGGCCAGCGTAATGCTGAACACATTACCCACCCAGTGCCGATTGGTCTGTAAAAATATGGGACGCTCTTCCCATATACCCGATGCGCCTATGGCGTGAAAAAGCATCTTTACTTTTACTTTTTTTTTAAAAATAATAAATAGCAATGGAGACTGTTTGACAGAAATCAAAAGGAGGATGACCACAGCAATACAAAGATTAAACAGTGTTAAATGTCTATGGTTAAACACCAGTAAGGAAACAAAAATTAAAATTCTGAGGGTATGAATCTTTCCTGTAGGAACATATGGACTATCTCCCAGTCCTTAAGAAAGAAAAAATGCTTTTGAGCTGAAATGCAATAGAAAGATTCTCAGAATACCATGGACAGACAAAAAAAGATAAGAAATACTGAGATTTTAAAAGATGTGAACATCAAGGAAGATTTGCTAATGAACAGCATCTTGACTCTGAAGCTGAAATATTTGGGTTATATCAAGCCATGGCAGACTGGAAAAAATAATAACAGAAGGCAGGATACCACGAAGGAGGTGCAAGGGGCGACCAACACAAAGATGGGCACAGGATATAAGTGACTCCTTCAATATAATAAAAGTACATGAGGCAGGAGAACTGAGGAGAGACCGAGTTTCTTTCAGGCAGACTGTGATGAGAGTGACATTCTGCAAAGGACCTGCTATGTAGTGATGATCTGTGTGGTTAATGTGTATGGCTGCAGCTTGAGGAATGCCAAGTGGCCAGACCCAGGATCTCTTCACTGCATGCAGAGAGCATGCCTGAAGCTTCCAGAGCACTCGCATGGGTTGCAGAACAAGTGGCCATACATGCGGTAATTGTTTCAGACTCTACGAACATGCTTCCGAAAATCACAACAGGTAGATTAGGCTCCACATGGGTAGAAAGAATTTTAAAGCCCACAGTTAAACTCCATCATCGGGATCTACACACCAGGGCATGCAGGCATCAAAGGTCATGAAAAAGCTGACAAGTAATGTAAACAGGAAGAAGCATGGACAGAGCTGATATTACCAATGCTGTACAGAATAGGTTGGGGGTTAATGATGAACCTAATACGCTAACACAATTGCATGACCTGAGAGTAAAGCTTGGTGAAGCACGACTATGTCGTCATCGAGGTCAAGACAAAAGACACTATGACCAACTTCTCATGGAAACAATTAGTCACAGTACCTAGCAGTGGCTGCTGCATTGGTGGTCTGAGCACGTATGAGAATGCTTAAAGTGCAGTGATGTCAAATGCCGCAGAAAGACAAACCCCCTGAGATACATCCCAGCAAAGACTGTGGATCTGGTCCAACATGCAAGAGAAGCTGATGGGGGACCGGTGGCGACCTTAAAACGCACAATCATATTTGTGACCCCAGACGTGAGCACATGACTGATTCAGTATTTTGTGGTGCTTATCCACATGGGCAAGTTATGAGTCCCCAGTCTTTTTTTTTTTTTTTAAACATAAGAATGTGTATATTACAATAGAGAAAAATATTTTTCTATAGCATTTCTGTGCACATACAATGAATATATTTGTGTATATTACAGTTAACATAACATTTCAGTTATGACCATTACCTTGCCAAGAGGAACATCCTTGGCACCTTCTGGTATGAAAATCTTTGCTAGATAACCTTCATCAGAAGATTCGAACCCCATGCTGGCTTTGTCTGTCTCTATTTCAGCCAACAAGTCTCCCTCAGAGACTTTGTCACCTTCCTTCTTCTGCCACGAGATAATGGTACCACTCTCCATTGTCGGAGACAATGCCGGCAACACAATTTTAACATGGCTGGGCAGGTTTCCTACAGATGTGAGGAAAGCAGAAATATCAAACAAAGCTATTTAATGTTTTTATAGCACTAAGGATTTGGTGGCAGGTCAGAGTGTCTGGCTCGTGCATCACGAGATCTGTGTTGAAAACTCAATAAAACCAGATACAAACCTGCATCTGCAAAATTCTAAACTGGAAATGATTTGGTGACTGGTTGGGCAAATAGCCATTATTCTTCAGTGACATCTAAAAATTCCCATATACGTTCCACATTCCCCATCTTCAGCAGCCAGAGCAGAGTTCCAGTTGCAATGGTATTAGTGGCCATCTGATTGTATGGCTGAATTGCATTTCCATTGAATGCTGAGTTTTGGTCTAATCTCCTGGTCACTCATCACTGGACCACACTCTTAATTCTGTGATAATTTATCTGTGCTTCATAAAGAGTAGGCCAAACAGACAAATGCCCAGGTAAAATTTTTCTTCTCTAAATATATATGCTCAGAATGGGGGGGGGGGGGGGGGGGTGTGTTGAGCTTCTCAATGACCTTGAGAGGTGTGCCAGCACTAGCGACCAGCAGGGCCTCCTAAACTCAAGAAAGGGTACACAAGAACAGACACGAAGGACACCCTTGTCCTTCATGTTGGGGGTTTTAGCATGGGGCTAACACCACCAACTTCGTAAAGCCTCCTTTCATCATGAAACATCTTCCTTTTCTTTGCAGCCACCAGCTATAAGTTCCTGCAGAAAGTCCTGTTTGTTCATCCACTTCTAGAATTCAGTCATGTTCCAGAACTTGAGTTTTGCGTGCATATCTGTTTTACAGACCTAGATTATTTGTTTACAGACTGTTGGTTCCTTGCCTCTTAGGCAGATGCCATCCAACTTTAAAAAAGCAACCCTAATTAACCTCTTTTTATGATATATTTGTAGGGGTAGTGGGTTTGTTCTTGTTTGCCCCCACAATGATGCCACGGAAACCACACAAGGATGTCAGGAACAGATGTCTAAGCGTCAAAATCAGATCGATGAACGGAGGTAGATATCTGATGAAACTAAACCCACAGGCTCTAAATACTGGAGGTACCCCCTAACATCCTCTAGCTTACAACACCTTTAGGCAAGGTGGAGTACCTTTTTAACCCTCCTTTCAGGGTGATGTAATACTTTGGGATCAGGTGGTGTAAAAAGCTTCTTCTTCTTCTCTCTCTTTACTACCCCTAGGGCCTGTGATGATAAACCCCCGGGACTAAAAGAGTTAAAAGGACAGCTGACACACTGAATTGTGGCTTACAGCTACACTGTGATATCTGCGCCTTTCAGCCCAACAGATCCAACTTCAGTAAAGTAATGAGCCTAAGAGCAGCAAGTGGATAGTTGCTAGCCACAGTCTAAAGTGCCCCAGTGGTAAACACACTAACATACTGAAGTGACAATGGCTACAATCACTGGCAAGACAGAAAACAGTGGCAGACTTCTTAAAAAGATGTCAAGAAGCAAAATCACAATTAACAAACAAATACAAATAATTTCTCACTTCTTGATCATGTAAGAATGCGAGACCTCGATCCTGATAACATAATTGTGACATGGTACATGATGGTGTTTTAACAATTTCAAACATTCATCTCAGACACCATAAACTGGCTGCCTGAAAGTTCTTCATAACGTGTCCATATTCTTAACAACATTCATTGATAAGTAAAGAACCCTCTGACACACATTTAGTCCTATTGGGCATATAGTGCTTCACTGATAAGTACATTGAAAATAATTTCTTCTCTTCTTCCCTTTCTTCTACATCTGTCCTTAATTGGGCGGTAAGCATGCAGAGCTTTAAGGTTCACAGTAAGGCTATATTTGCACCTTTCTGCTCAACACATCCAATTTCAGCAAACCATAATTAGTCATCTTTTATGGCATGCTTTTAAAGGGCAGCATGTCTATTCACCCCCCCCCCCCCCCCCCCCAATCCACC